CTTGAATATTATATATTATATTTGGGCCTAAACTCTCTTTTATAATATAGTAGAATAGAATTTAAATAATTAGATTGGGATTTCAATAATATGATTAATTTAGATTTATAGTGCTATCTAGCCCCATTAGGAATGTGAAGAACTTTTTTTTAACAATAACATACAATTTCATGAATAGAGTTTGAAAATAGTAAAGTGTACACTATCTTATTCTTAATTTAATTAGGTAGTTAGAAAAAATATTTCAAAAAATCATACAATAAATTAAAGTAATTATAGAAAAAAGAAGATAAAAATAAAGAAAATATGATAACTAATAAAGAAAACATTATAGAACATTTTGATAAAGAACAATAACAAAATCAAAATAATGGAATAACTAAAATAAAATATATTACAGATGAGAACATATATGATATAACAAAAGACAAAAACTATCATAAATAATAAACTAGACTAGACAAATACTACCATTGATATGATGCTCCAAAATTTAAAAGTAATTTTTAAAAAAAATCTTATCAATCTCTTTACATTCTAGCAATAATTTTTAAAAATACTTACTTAATATGAACCAACAAAACCATAATTGATGTCTTTCAAGTCAAACTCAAGAAAGACTTAAAATGGAGTTTACCCACTTTAAATACTTTACTTGATATATTACAAGGGAAAAGACTCAAATATTCTATAGAATTTTTTGAAAAGACTCATTTATGTCAAAATGGTTTTAACAACAATGACATAGATAAGTCTTTTCTTTAACAACAATGACATAGATGAACCTAACTTTTAACGGATGACATAAATGAGTCTTTTTAAAAAGTTCGATAACATATTGAAGTCTTTTCCCTTATAACAATAATATATTTAGTATAATTTTTTATAAATAAAGTTAGTAAAAGGTAGAATATATAATATATACAGATCTTAATTCTAACTTTTAGAAATTAAAAAGAAAACTGTATTTGATAAACTCTTGACTTAGCTAAAACATTTTTAAAAAATAAATGAAAATAGTAACAACAGTAATAATAATAAACTCAATATAGTACACACACGAAGTCTACAAAATATGATGTATATATAATTGGGAAAATTATATAAAATAGCAAACTATTAATTCAAATTAAATGTTATAACCACAGTTTGATTTAATTGTAACCCGTAGCAAACTGTTGTCATTTCGCCTCTCTCCCTTAATTTGTCGCTCGCATCTCTCTTTATACAAACACAAATGTATAAAATGTGTTTGTGTTTGTATAAAGCGAGAAAAAATTGTATATATACATATCTTTTCGTTCCCCTCTCTCCCCTCTCCCAGATCTCGCTCGTCACTCTCACTCGCCTCTCTCACTTTATACAAACACAAATGTATAAATTGCTTTGTGTTTGTATAAAGCGAGAAAAAATTGCATATACAAATACAAATACATATATTTTCGTTACACTTATGATTATACAAATACAGATATTCCCCTACCCAGTTTTCTTTTGTCTTTCTATCTTTCTCGCTTTATACAAACACAAATTATACAATTGATTCATTTGTATACCGAAACAGATTATACAATTGCTTCTTTTGTATATGTATAGCGAAATATACATATTAATAGCCATAGCAAAACGCAATTATGCAAACTATAGTTATATTATACAAATATAATTTTTATATTTGCTATATGTGAAAGTTGTTAAAAAAATACTCCTATTTTATGAAAATATATAAATAGACGTTTTTTGACCCACGAAGAAAACAGTAACAATAATCAATAATGAAATACTTATTTCTTTATAGTCAAACTCAAGAAAGACTAAAAATGGAATTTACACACACATAATTCCAAAAAAACATTATAATAAAAAAAAACATAAGCAAAAAAATTAAAGCACCAAAAATCTAAAAATCGAAACGTGAGAGACTCTTTGTTCTCACGTTCTTGCCTTTAATAACTTCTACTGTTTTTATAATTCTTCCATTAATGTCTACTAATTAACTAACCAAATTATCTTATCTTTAGCTGATTTCATCTTCTTAAAAAAAAAAAAAACTGATTTTTGTTTGTTGTATTTAATTCTTTTGCTTCTCAAAAGAACCAGTTTGTTCAAAGAATCTAAAACAATCCATATAACTATTTGCCGAACAAAAATTGAAGGTTCTTCTTCTTTCTTATAGTTTACTCTGTTATTTATTTTTTCTGGGTTTGTTTGAATCATACCCATTAATGAAGTAATGCTTATATACTCACACTAGTATTTCTATTTTAGCTGTTGATTCTAAATTCTGTTTTTCTTTTTGAGTAGTTTTACCTGAGCCGGGTTTATCTGAAATTGGTTCTCTAATGGTTGCTGGAATTCTGGGTTAATCTTTTTTTTTTCTGGGTTGATTTGAAATTGTATGCTAATGTTTATATGCTCACTATTTTTTTATTTATTTTTTGCTATTTTAGCTGCTGATTCAAATTTGTAGAAAAAAAAATTCTTTTTTACCGTATTTCTGTGTAATGGGTACTGAATTTCTGGGTTTTCTTGATTTTTGGAATTTTTTCTGGGGTTTTTGTGATTGTTTGTTTTTCTGGGGTTTTTTGCCTTTTGTGTGTTTGCTGACTTTTTGGGTGTATATGCATTTGTGGAATGGTAAAAATTTGAGATTCTAAATGTTGATTTGATTTGGGGTTTGATACTTTTTTGCTAATTATTTGGACTGTTATATCAAAATTCTCTCTGTTTTCAATGAACCTGGTGTAATATTCTGACTGTTTCTGCTAAAAAAATATATTTTCTTACTTGTCTTATTGGTTCTCCAATAAAATATGTAAAAACTCATTAAGATATAATATGGTTGAAAGTTAGCTTGCTTATGTATATATGTTTATATCTATTGGATGTACATTCTTGTTTTTGTCATTCTACCAAATTCTTAGCTAGTTGTTTACGGAGTCTTTGAGTGTATCTTTTATCTTGTTAATTTAATACTACTAGTTGTATTTTTTGGATTGAGCTTCTAGATGGTGACTTTTTATATAAACAACATTTTGGCAGTGAATAAGTGTGTGTTCTGGAGAGCAAATCAAGAACGGGCTATTGGGGCGCGATTAAGTTGGGAATGTTGAGTAGATGAGAATTGTGTTTTTTGTGCTGGTATTGAACTAAATGATAAGGTTCAGCAATGAAGTCAATGAACTTAGAGAAGAAATGGCTATTTCCTTTGGTTTTAAGTGCGATTGTGTGTTTTTTCGTTGTTGTAACCTCCTTCAACATGGGCCTTATTACTTCATTACACACAATCAATTCAATCTTTTTATCTCATGTTAAGCTAAATCAAACCAACCCATATTTTGCTGAATCGATAATTAACCAAGCTCCACCCCCTCCTGCTAGACCTCCTGTCCCCCGTTTTGCTTATTTGGTATCTGGATCAAAGAATGATCTTGAAAAGCTTTGGAGAACGTTGCAAGCGTTGTATCATCCACGGAATTATTATGTTGTTCATCTGGACCTAGAATCATCTGTGCAGGAGAGGTTAGAGCTTGCTTCTAGAGTGGAGAAAGAGCCCATTTTTGCACAGGTTGGGAATGTGCACATGATCACCAAAGCAAACATGGTGACCTACCGTGGACCTACCATGGTTGCTAACACTCTTCATGCCTGCGCGATTCTCCTCAAGAAGTATCAGGACTGGGATTGGTTTATTAACCTGAGTGCTTCTGATTATCCACTGGTGACTCAAGATGGTTAGTTCTCTGTTTGTTTAAGCTTTCTCCACCAGAAAAGCCAATACTTTCTTTTTGGCCATAAGTCAGTCTTGAGTAGTTATGTCATGTTTCTTTCTTTAATTTTTGGCAGATTTACTCTATACTTTTTCCGATTTAAAACGAGAGTTCAATTTCATTGAGTACAGTAGCCGGCTGGGTTGGAAAGAGTATGCTATCCTATCTCTATCTCTCACTTTGTGCTCTTGAAGCTGTATGGTACTGAGGTTTAATTTCTGTGTAACTGGATTGATTCTATTCAGGGGTCAAAGGGCAATGCCGCTTCTTATAGACCCTGGTCTCTATAAGACAACCAAGTCTGACATATTTTGGGTCTCGCCAAAGAGAGCTCTTCCCACAGCCTTTAAACTCTTTGCAGGTTAGTTTTTGATGATTGAATTCACATACTTGTTTAAGTATTCTTGAAGTTGTTTACTGATGTTGATTCACCACAAAAGCAAATAGAACATGCCACGATACTGCTTTGGCCCCGTAAAATTTTGTGCTTGTACCATTACTCCTTTCCCTTAATCTAGATATTGCTTTCTTGGTTACGATAAGGATTTTGTTTGAAACCTGAAGACTCTGAATCTCTCATTTCTACAGAAGCTGAACGATTGGTATTTTTTTCAGTTAGAGACTCCTCAAGTTGAAAAGAACGCCATGCTTAGACACACTTGAAACTTATGTTTCAATTATTATTTTTTCATTTTTTATCTTCCTATTAGTCTTTGGACGCTGTCAATCTGGATGTTTGTGTATCAACTATTGCGGTTAGATGAACCGATGGCATTTTGCATCAGTTGAACCAGTTAGCTAAGTGTTTCAATTACTGTTGTTGCCTGCTAAAATTGCTTAATCCAGAGATTTGATTTAGATATCTGTTGTTGGAAATTCACCTTCTTTATACTTGATGCTGTATTTCTCCACACTGAAATGTTTTTCCTAGAAACATGGTGAAGCATTTGTCAATCTTATGTATGGATGGAAATTGATAGATTACTTTCTGACCAAACGATGAGGTAGATCTAGGAAGAAAGTACGTTGAATCAGCATGAACTGCATAGACAATGAAGTGAACTCTTTGTGTAATGCATCCACCATATGGTTTATCTTCTTAACAACAACACCATATCCAGTGTAATTCATCAAGTAGGGTCTGGGGAGGGTGGTGTGTTCACAGCCTTACCCCTTACCTTGTGAAGCTAGAGAGTTTTTTTCCCAAAGACCCTCGGCTCAAGTAAAGCATATCAAAAACAGTATGATAAGGAAATAAAGTAGTGAAGAAGCCAAGTAGAAAATAGATAAGGTTTATCTTCTTATTTCCGCAGTTATGAAAAATGCTACAAATTTGATACAGGTTCAGCGTGGATGATCCTCTCTCGTGCTTTTGTGGAGTACTGCATATTGGGTTGGGATAATCTTCCCAGAACCTTACTTATGTACTACACAAATTTTGTCTCCTCTCCTGAAGGCTACTTTCAGACTGTAGCTTGCAATGCCCCAGAATTTGCTACAACTGTTATTAACCACGACTTGCACTTCATTTCTTGGGATCGCCCTCCAAAACAACATCCACACAATCTCAACATAAATGACACATCAAGAATGATTGCAAGTGGTGCTGCATTTGCTCGCAAGTTCAGGCGAGATGATCCTGTTCTAGACAAGATTGATAAAGAACTCCTCCGTCGAAAAAATGGTAGCTTCACACCGGGGGGTTGGTGTACCAGCAGACCTTCTTGTTTAAAGGTTGGAAATCCAGCAAAGCTTAAACCAGGTCCAGGGGCTAAAAGGCTTCGGCGTCTTATTGGTAAGCTAGTTTTGTCAACTAATACTACTAGGCAACAGCAGTGTAAGTAGTTATACTTTCCCATGAAAAAAGGGAGGGGATTAGAGAGTTCCATTCATAGATCCAGAGAATAATATTAACATCAGATTATTTTGTAATATAAAGATTTACACATCCTTGTCACCCTATTGGTGTTCCTGTTTTTGTGTAAGTTTATCCTTTCTACCCTAATAATCTGTGGCTTTGTTTATTTAAGTTCTCTCTGCACATTTCAATTCTTGGTAGACAAACTCATGACTCACTATTTTGAGTATTGAAGTTTCATCCAACAATGTTCAGGTTCAAAATTGTAACCCAATATGGGTTCATACACGAAATTTCATGTGGAATTCCGAGTTTAGACTCTGATACCATATAAAGAAAATTGGGCACTCGACTCAGAATTGTAAGACAACAGGAGGATAACCTAAGAACTTTTGAAACAAAAGTACATTTGTAAAATATTAGTTCATCATATGTTTAATTCTTTCATGTCTTAAATAACCTCCCTATTCCACAAAGATAGAGATAAGGTCAGCATACATCCACTCTTCTCAGACCCCACTTGTGGGATTACATGGGGTATGTTGTTAACAAAAAAAATAAAAACTTCAGCTATTATCTATTAAAGTTTATTGACTATTGAGATCAAGAGTGAACCAATATGACACACATGAATTTCTAAATGCTGCTTGTATTTTTCTGCCAAATTGCTTCCACAGACCAAAACATAGAATTTTCTGGAGATCACATTCACACAGTTCCTTCAAGAAAATTCATTTAAACTCTGGAAATTACAGAATATACAGAGAAATTCATATTTGCATCCTTTCCCTTTTATATATATCATTTCACACTTAGACCAATAAATGTTCTCTTATTTCCAGTTGAGTCTATTTCCACTATATGATTACTACTAGCAAAAATCTTGGTTTCTTGATGATGACAATCTCTATGTATCCGATCTAGCTGACCTCTTCACAGCAAGCCATTCATTCATCAATGTAGAACCCTTACCTTTCACGTCTTTTTATCCCGAAGGCAACTCCCAAACCTTTGGAGAACATGGACCACATTAAGCCATCTCCAACAGCTTGATATTACCCATAGAATTTGCAGCAACTAAGGTAGAGGACTGACCACGCCAACAAACAGATGAGATAAACTGTGCTTGGTCATCCACTTCATCACCAGATAGAGGATCTGTGCTATTAAATTTAAATGATAATGCAGGCATAGGAAAAGTTTTGTGATACACAAAGACCTGCAACACAGCCCAGATCACACCATTACATTAATACGAAAAAGTCGTAGCAATAGCTATTTGTAGAACAATACATACAAGTATAAAGATAGTTTTGGAAGGATAGTATGATATAGGAATACACAAGCTATGCATTGAACCAACCATATATAACCATTTTAATGGAGTACTTCCTTCACCACCTTTTTTCTTTGCCAAGGTAAATGTGTCACCCTCTTTAAGTATTCTCATAACCATCTTATACTATAGGCACTGCAATACTCTTGCAATACTCTTCCTTTCTATAGTATTCTTCTGTGCTATTTATTCCCAGGTTTTCTTATTATTGATGTTTACCAAATATGGGAACTGTAACTATAAGCTAATAAGAAGTAACCAAATACATGTTAATGGAGAAGAGAGGATTATCTAAGAAGCAACTTTTGCAGGAAATTCTGTTCTTTTGGTATCAATTGTGTCATGTTCTCCTATAAGAAAAAGAAGAAAGCTTAATCATCAAGACTAGCTACTTTACAATCCATGTTGTTTATTTTAAAAAAAATAATGTATACTATCAAGGGTAATGGCCAGAGACTTATTGCTAATTGGTAGCACACGAAAATGATCCTCATTATATATATATCTTTGCTTGTCAAACAGAGTTCAAAACTTCAAATTATGTCTCTCATAAATACTTCTTTTTCTTATATTAGTTACTGTGGAAAACAGTGTTTCTCCCAACTAGTTTTGGTGTTGATGCGCAGTTAATTGATTGATGTTTTTTCCCCATAAGTTCTCCTAACTTCCAAAACAGAAATGAGTGTGCACATGCACACACAAACCCATGTATGTATACATATGTCAAGTGGAAGAAAGTCATTCCTCCCCTATAAGGATAAAATGCAGTAATAGTCCTTAAATTTTCTTTACTTTCTGTACTACTGTTTTGGGGGGTGGAGGTGGCAAAATGTTTCGTCTTATGAACTCTGCATCAGGTTTTCTTCAGTGTTCTTATTGTAAACCATGATCTGGTTCTCAGCTCTGTTATAGATATTCTATACAAAGTTCCTGACTTTTTTTTTCAGCATGACTTTTGAATTTCTATATGACATTATGATATATTTCCTAACTTATAAATACACTTGTGTGCTTCTGAACTTTCCTATAAACTTTGTCATGAATTAGTCTTAATTAATTTTTTTGATTTTGCTTGTTTCGTTAAGATAATGAACCATGATGATGCTGATGATATGAACGAATTGTCATCAGCTTCATTATCAAGGTGTGAGGAATAATGAAGAACAAGAGATTTTCTTTAAAATTAGTCACATATTATTATTGTATCTCTTGATTGTTTAATTTCGATATTGCTTCTCTTTTGCTTCTTGTGTCATTTGATATTTGTCTTGTAGTCATTCAAGGTTGAAGAGATGTTGAATGAAAGAAAATCTACATATGCACACATATATTATGTTCTGTTTGTAGATTCTATTATATATTTATTCTTTTACATTTGGTCAATTTTGTTTGCTTTTTAGATTTAATTTTTTGTTGTTGTTTGTTTATCTTTTTCACCCCAAGTCCCCAATATATATTGCATGGAATACTACTATACCCGTCATAATGATTATTTTTAGAGTCGAAAAGCCAGAAAACTCTAATGTTATTTTTTCTTTATGATGGTTACGTACTTTGTGGTGACTAGGTGAACAAAATATGCACACTACCTTTTATAATATCTATCAAATAATACATTTACCTTTTAATAAATCTCTCTCTCTCTCTCTATATATATATATATATAAAAAGGAGAAACATAGAGAAGGTGATGTGACACCTCTCTATGGCCTCCATTCCAATTTATCTTTTTCTCCCTTTTATTGATTTTTTTTCTTCATTTTCTCAATAAATAATTGTTTATTAATTTAAAAATTCAATCATATTTACTATTATAATTATGTCTAATAAGTTACAAAAAACCTCCATCTATTTAACTTCTCTACTTAAATAATATGCCTCTTCAACTTCTTTCTAACTATTGTTATTGTTTACCCAATCTATAAATAACAATCATCTTTAGAGATGTTCAATGTCCATTTCCATTTTTTCATTCTTTCTTTTTCTTTCATCTCTTTCAT